ATGATGATGATGATGATGATGATGATGATGATGATGATGATGATGATGATGATGATGATGATGATGATGATGATGATGATGATGATGAACGGACAGTGTGTGGGTGCTGAACCACAGATTACAGATTTCGAGGAGGTTTGCAGCCTATCTGTCTTCACGTACTCTTGCGCTAGCGCGTCACGTGTGGGTCGAATCGTTCAGCTTCCGTTTAGGCCATGCAGCAAAGTAACGAAAACCGGCAGTTACCTGTGTGTAGGTATGCGTGCAACAGAGAAATGTACAAAAGCATGCAAGAATGTTCGAAAACAGAAGGTGGGTCGGAAACAAATCGAAATTTTGCCAGTTGGTACAAAGAATGGGTAGAGCGGAAGATGACAAAACGCTTCGAATGATCTGCGTGCGCGGCAGCAACACGATGAAGCGACAGTCTGACCATTCGAATTCAACAACCACAGCTGTCCCGAGAGAACTCGAGAGTGTGACCCACGGGCATCCTGAACAAACGGGAGATTGTAACCCGTCCCTATGGAGTCTGTCACCCGAAAAGGCGGCCACTTGGGTGGACGCAGGTGTCAACCCCTTCAGGCGCCGAACGGAAAATAGTACGAAAAAGTCAGAGAACGGAGGCTTACCATGGGAGTTGTGAGGTTACACACAGACGGCTCCTTGTCTCCGTGTTGCCAGGTTTCGACACTTAGCCCGAGACCCAAAGCTGGAGCAACCAAACTGGCGTACAAATCTGGTGACAGAAAGAACAGATGCAGAACTTGTGAGTGAGAAGACAGTATTACTCCTCAAAAGTGTACTCCCGAGCAACGGATGCCCTTAGAAACGGCATGTTTTAACAGTTATCTCCTACTGTACCACAAAAGAGCCGCACTACTGTGATGCTCCCGTAAAATTTCCATACCGTGGATAGATGCTCCTGTAACAAGAGGCCAAACGACGGGACAAACAAACACGTTCTAACTCTCACATCGGATTCAGGACCTCGGTGTAATCTGAAATCGCCTGTTCGCTGAGCACCCTTTATTGGTGGGTCGATTCCCCAGGGCGGGAAGTTAGATAGGCATTCCTGAAACCCTGATCGGAAGGTATCTGCTTTGGACAGTTTGTATGTTTACTGTTGGACAATTGTGATGGCATACTGCTATCTTGAGCTCAAGATAGCTTAGTGGTTAAGGCACGAACATACTGACAGAAGGGTCCATGGTTCGAACCCAACATCAGCACATCAACTAATCTTGTCTAGCCTTAGGAAACTTGGCAATACCTGATCTGTCGTGCTTCGATCCGGTGGCATAACAGCTAGATGCCGAGAGTGTTACAGCTTAGTCACCGAATTCGGTCTCTCAGCTTTCTGAGAAACGACCTTTTTCTTGATCCGCTTAATCATCATTATGAAACAGTGGTGAGGGTGGTTTTGATTCTGGTCTTTTGAGGTTTTGAGGATTACACCCCTGAAAAGATCCATGACTAACTCCGATCATACTACTCGCACTACTCTTGATCGACCGCGTGCTAAGTCCGAGTAGGTTGGCTTCAGAAATATCTTGGATGGCAGCTGTCCACGAGCGGCCGCCAGATATGTACAAATCGCGGCCCACTGCGAGTTCATCGCATCCGGTTTGTAAACACACCGAGAGGCTTGCATCAACCACGTGGCCCAGCCGCACACAGTGGTTCATGGATGAGGTCACGATTACACAGAAATCTGTGTGCACATGCTAACCAGCCTAACGCATCACACCACTTAATAGCTCTAACGATAATTATTCAGCTGTAACCCGCTTCTGCTGTCATGCCACACGAAGGAAGCGCGAGGGCTGAGAGGCTAACAGATTCTCAAGTCTAGCCAGGAGCAGCCGATATTCTGAGGTTGGGTTCGAACCACAGATTTTCCGGTCTGCACCTTAACTACAGAGTTGTTTCGAGCTTGGGCCGTTCTAGCCCCACTCCCACCCGACCAATTGGATCGAACTTTCGACAGCGAACGGATCAACATGCACCTGCTCCACATCCAATGAGTTCACTGTAACTGGACTATCCAGCAACGTACATCCATACTTCACTATAGTGTGTGCGTGTTGGGCACCGTATCCTCGCATTTCGAATGACCTCGCCGTTTGAAGTCTTGGGCGCCATTCGGTAGAAAGACATATTTGGGTTGGGGGATCGCAGTTGAGTGCGCAATGACCATGTCTCCTCGACTGGGGACGGCAATTGGCCAGCCAATTGCCGAGCTCGGCGAACAGATCAACTGCCATCTGATCAACCACCAGAGTCTGGTCTTTATGTGATTCATTCCCAAGGTAAGAGGTACTTGACTTTCACTGAGGAGAATGCATATCATGATCAGCAAAAAGTCCCGATGGAGAGCAGATCACCTTAGGTTGCCCTAACAACAGAGTGCCCACAAGATTGACCGGACAACACGAGCAAATTGACTGCTATTATGATAAGAAGACGCGCATCCCAATCAAACCAACCTTTTCCGTAGTCTGATGCCTTGGAAAAATGCTTCATTGTCAAACCACCTTGAACCGAATCAAAATCGGCAACCGCTTGGACCGTCTCGGTGACACGTTTGTGGTTGAACAGGGACACAAGAGACTCGTAATCTGCGACGAGTTTCGGGTCAATGTAGGAGTCTTGGATGAGTGGTCGGGAAACGGCCAACTGATTGACTAAAATGGAAAAGGAGAAAGGCAAAGTGAACTGCGATTTGTGTTGGTCCTTAGTGATACTGAAAATGCAAGTAAGTTTTTTGTCAGCAATGCACTGTCGCGGCGAGTGCTAGTGTACTGACCGGAAGGTCCAGGGTTCGAACCTGGCTTCTGCCTCCCGACTTCCCCCTGTCTAGGCTTGGACAACCTGGTAGTATCCCAGCCCTCATGCTTTCTCCTGGTGGCATGGCAGCTAAGCGCCGACAGGGTTCTACAGCTAAACGATTTTTATCTAATATTTTCAGTAATGCACTAAGGCAGAGAGTGTCCCCTTGATCACCGTGAAGGCTGATGTCACTTGGTCGAGCAGATTACGGCAAACAATTCAAACCCGATCACTGGAAACTGGAACAGTACTTAGCTGCCGTGCACATCTGAGATACTGCCAAACTGTCCAAGTCCAGACAGCAGCAGCAGTCTAGATGCTAGGGTCGGGTTCGAAACTAGGACCTTTCGATCGTTTGACTCTTGATCAAGAAGCTATCTGGAACTTCATTAGCGACAAATTTGTCAGTTAAGTGCTTCGTCGGATGTGTCCACCATTCGCGGGAAGGCCGAAAGAATCAGGAAAGCCGTGTGCTACCGACCCGTACTAGTGAGAAACAAATGATGCATATGTATCCAGAATAAGATTAGGGAACACAATACAAAATGAACCTGGTTGACGAATAGGTCGGATGTGAGCACATCTGAGCACGCGATGTTCGTCCTCCTACTAGCATTTGTTACGATAATACTCGGGTGGCATCGAAAGTGAGGAAGCCCTTGAGCTGAACGAAAATAAACATTGGTAATAGCGCAAAGATTTCGACTGAGATGATCTGACAATGTACAAAACCATGGAAATTCGCATTTCAAGCATTAGATTTTCCGCCACGGTAAACACCACTTATCCAGGCGTGTCATCCACTGACCTTTGCAGTATTTTGGGCTGATAAGACGAGTCAGGTCACATTGGACAACAGCCTGCGAAAGCATACTGGGGGAGTCCACATCTAACAAGCATGTACGCCTGCAAAGTGCTGCTACAAGACTGGGTGGCATCAAACCCAACGGCTCATGCGTTCAGGTGTGCCAGTCGACGTGGTAGATAAATCTGTTCACCGGGGAAGCTGCGTAAGTTCAGGTGGACTGGCTGGGGATGTAATTATTTCTCGAATCGGAAAGGCCAGGGATGCTTTTTTCAACGTCCGACACCTATGGGTCCAACTTGGCCTCAGTTTGTGTCAGAGGAAGAGTTTACGCTACGGTGGTGCGATCCATACTGCTCTATGGATCAGAGACGTGGCCCCTACGCGCAGAGGACATCTCACCTGGTCAGCTCTATAAGTTTCGGTGGATTGGTTGGAGATGAGATTATTTCTCGAATCGTAAAGGCCACGGCAGATTTCGCCAACCTCCGACACCTATGGCGCCGACGTGACACGAGTTTGTCAAGGGAAGAACTTACACCGCGGTAGTGCAATCCACACTGCTTTATGGATCAGAGGCGTGGCCCCTACGCCCACACGATATAGGGAAGATGTCAGTGCTTGACCATCGGTGTCTCCGAAGCATTGGTCAGGTCTTATTGGAACATGTTCTTGGGAAGAAACTCTCCCGCGAAAGATGAATTCCTCACGCTTCTTATGTTAAGCTGGTTGGGTCATGTAATCCGCATGCCAGAGACCGTCTGTCTCACAGAGCTCTTTTCTCCCAGCACTGTACTGAGTGGAAGCGACCGAGAGGTGGACAATGTATAACCCGGCAACGAAGTACAAAAGCACTAACCAGTAAACTAGCTCTGGTGGGCAACTGTCGCCTCCCTGGATGGGGACCCCGGGACTCAAATCACCAGTGGTTATTGACACTGGCGGAAATGACCCAATCGCGCAGTCAGTTGCGCTCGTGCATCAAAGCTATCGTCTTAAATGCGTAGCTACCAAATTTTCCAACAAACCGAGCATTTCTTCGCCTTCAAGGTCTGGTTTTGTACTCCACTTTCCCGTTTTCTGGTGATCGAAACTGTAGCAGCTGGAACCAACGTGCCTATGGCACACAGTTTATATCTGATAAATTGATTGATTGATTGATTGAAGCCCAAAGGAGATTACCACTCTAGCTCATAGTCAACAGAGTCGAAAGCAGATCACAAAACAGCAGGGAGAATAATCATAAAAGATCGATGGATTGACATATTCACTCTTTATCAGTCAGTCAGAGCACCGTTTGGTACGTGAGTGCCACGCAACTCGAACGAAGCACGAGCGCTGGGATAATCCTAGACAGAAGTGATTGAAAAGCCAGGGGTGGCTTAGGGACACACCACGCACTATTCTGCTGTCTAAGCCTGCTTCGTAAGCAATTACGATATGGCCACGCAGGACAATCTGTCTTCAGTACCCTGTCACGTGATTCACCATAACCCGAGGCATTCGCTTTGCACGAGAAAAAAATCGTTCAGCTGTAGCACCCTTTCTTTCGAAGGGAGAGGGCTGGGATACTGCCAGGTTGCCCAAGCCTAGACAGGGGAAGTCGAGAGGTAGAGGTCGGGTTCGAACCACGGACCCTCCGGTCAGTAAATTCGCTCTCTAACCACTTGGGTCATCTCCCCCCCCTCCCGATGCCATAAAGAAGCTACCAATGGAATAACTATTCTTGGCTTTGTGTTGTCGCGACAGTACTGTCAAAGTAGTCAACAGCAAATATCTAGACGTGGTTAAAAACACGTTTTTAAATTTTTACATGTGTGATCTCCCGTCGATTCCTAGTTGAGTAGATGTACATGCATATGAAAAATAATCGCTGATGGCCAAAAGGCAGCCAGACTGGGGTCCAAGAGCATTTAACTTGGTAATGGTCACTTTTCGGGTCTTCCTCGGGTTCGCATTTCCTAGAAACGGGCAAGCGCTAAATTTCGACAGGTATGTATAGTTTGTCACATGACTTTCTTCACGCGCTGTCTTCCAGGACAGCAAGTTCCAGGTGGCGTAGGTGGACGCCGAACTTGTGTTACTGTTTTAATCCGGCGAGTTTCAGTGAACGAGCAGCGACCGCAAACCTAGAGAACGACCGCTTTTCGTTGACCGGAAGGTCCGTGGTTCTAGCCCGACCTCTGCCTCTCAACTTCCCCTGTCTAGGCCTCAGCAACCTGGCGATATCCCAGCCCTCGTGATTCCTTCAGGTGGCATGGTAGCTAGGCACAGAACTGGTGTCACAGATGAATGATGTCTGATGATGTCTATAATTGAGTTGCAGACTGTAAGAACTCACCTAAAGATGGGATGGAGGAAGCCGGCAGCGAAACACAGAACAAATGCTGCCCATATACTCGCCCCGTGTGTGGGTACTGGTAGCTACCGTTGACTTCCGACAGTTTCGGAATACTGTGGATAATCCATAAGCCGTCATGAGACAGGTCAAAAGCGAAGGCACCTGTGGACGTGATTGTGAATGACCAGTGAGAAAAACCCACCTTTCATATGCCCCCACCAGTAGTGGTCTGACCGTAAAACGGGCCATTCATCGTTGTACATGCCATAAAAGGAATTCGCCTTCCCACTGAGAGCATACATTGCGTCATACGTGTTCTTCATCATCCCACCTTTGTCAATTGTATACTGTGATTTGCGCCAAGATTTAACAGTAGGGAGCAGAAATGCATATTCAAAGCCGTCCGGGAATTTGTAACCAATGAACCTATGCAATGTTTCGCATTATCGGGAGAGAAACACTCAACTCACCATTCCACAGGATTCCCATCGTCGTCAAGACAGGAGACTGCGTTTGTGAACATAAACCGCACGGACAAGAGTATCAATACCAGACCAGTAAACATGGTGTCTGTAAGGGAGAAGTTGACAAAGTTTAAGGGGTACAAAAACATATGGAAGAAGTTTCTCGTTTGCATTTTAGGGGAGAGAAAACCTTCAAATACGGTGAAAATTGCAACAGAAATTCCATTTGTTTAGGTGTGTAGACCATCCGGTGTTCCCACCAGATTCGGGCAGTGCTCCGGAAACACTGATGGCCAGACTCTGAGAGCCTTTTGAAGTCCCCAGGGCGCAGCGGCCAGGTTTCTGATCCCTATAGTAATATGGAGCACATCGTAGCTTTGTAAACTCGATCCTTTACGGACACGCTGACGACATGCCTACGCCACAGATGATGCGCGTTCACGAAAGCCGCTCCGGCCTTCCTAATTCGGATGGAGATATCATCTTTCGCGAGACTAGCGGAGCTGATACACCCGACCAGGTAGACCTATTTGTCTACTACTTCAATCGGCTCAATCGCAAGCGTGAGCCCGCCGAGTCTTGCAGTAGCACTTTGCAGGTGTGGAGCGCATGCCAAACTGCGAGACGAAATTATTTACATAATTTGATTTTGTATGCATCACGATGGCGTGCGATCCAAGAAGAGCTATGCTGTCTGTGCACTCCATGTCTGTGAGCGACCCCATGGGCACTAGAGGCTGGGTGTCTTCCATAATCGTAGCAATAACGAAGGCGAAGAGGAAAGGATGTCCTTGTTTGACACTACTTGATGTAGTGAACTCGGACAGGAGCTTCCTGTAGCCCTTCACACGCCTACGAGATTTGGTGTTCAGTGCCTTAAGGAAGGTCGATAACGTATCGGACAGACACTGCCATGGTGCCTGACGGTTCACAGAGTCAAAGGCAGTCCTCAGGTCAAGAAGGAAATTCGCTGTGCCGCTAGAAACAGTCTCGCTGTTTCAGAATTTGTCGGAGCAGTCTAGATGCCTGTGTCGGGTTCGAACCAGACTTTCCTATCAGTAAGTTCGCGCCTTAAGCACTAAGTTATCTTGAGTTCAATTAGTGGAGCGTAACCAGCTGAACCATCCCACGGAGAATGAACTTTCAAGAAAACCATTCTGCGTATACCCGCATTACTGATCTGATGTCCCCACCGGATCCACGCAAATCGTCGGAGGCATCGATGGTCAAACACGGTCTTCCCCAAGTAGCGGCAAGTCTCTGACCAGATCGGACCACGGCATCGTAAACTCTACCCTTGACAATGAAGATAATGTCAGGCCAGTGCCACAAATGCTACTTGTTAGCGAACGCTGCTATGGCCTTCTCAATTCGGGAAGTAGTTTCACTTTTCACCAGACCACCGCGATTTATGCAGCTGTCCAGAGAAACGAACCTACCTACCACATCGATCGGTTCACCTGTGAACGAGGTTTGGGTTTGGTCGCACCCAGTGTTGTAGCACCACTTTACACGGGTGTTAGGCGTACGCCAAAATATACAGCAGCAGTAGTTAGGCTATTTAGAACAGTTTGCGTTTTCAAATGGTCTGATTTAAGAACAATACTGTCGGTGTATTCAGTGCCCGCGAGCGGGTGTACCGTGAGTACTTCGATACGTGAGATGTTGGGGGCGGATGAAGGAGATTCAAGAAGCGCATCCAGCACGAAGTTAGAGGGAAGACAGAAGACATCGTTGGCTGACACCAATCGATGTGGTGAACACTGGACAATTTGCCGTAGGCACGCACGCGTCCACAAGAAGAGGCATTGCAGCTTCTGGCGATCGACAGAGTCAAAAGCAGACTTGAGATCGCAAAATACGACCACTGTTAGTCATCTGGATGGGTTGCACAGTTCTAAAATATGATCCATGCAACCCCGACCAAAGGAAAACAGCCCCTTTCTAACAAATCTGACTATTCCTATAGTGGGTCAAGCTTTGGAGTATAGTACCATACAGTACTTTGCAAGCTACAGCCACCAGACTGATGTGGCTTTCGCACAACGTTCTTATGCCCGTTTGAATATGGGAATCACCGTCGTGGGGCTCAATTCTGCCAGTTCTTTTCTCACTTCAGATACTTTGTATTGCTCGCCCATGTTTTTCCCCCATGTTTTGGGGGGGGGGGGTAGGTAGCTGCGCATTGCACCCGCGAGTTGGTAAATTGGTGCATAAATCCAGCACTGTCAGTGGGTTGTCAAGTATAGGGGTTGGAAAAGGAGCTATGCATTGAAGGCAATAGCTTGGATGCATGAGCGCCATTGAGGGCGCGACTGGGCCATGTCTGACAATGTCTCTAGCCATTGATGTGGACCGTCTCGGGGTCCCCATCCAGGAAGACGGCAGTGACCAGCGCAGCTGAGTTCGCTGGTTATGGCTTTCATAGTTCGCTGCCAAGTCATTGTTTGACCGCCTCTGGCTCTCTTCCACCCTTCACATGGTTGGGCGAAAAGAGCCCTTCGAGGAAGTCGGTCGACTGGCATACGCAGCACGTGGCCAAGCCAACGCAACCTGTGCAGTGTGATCA